TCGTCGTCAGTCAACAATCGATTAGTCTGGTACCTGGAGACCAATAACCTCCTGATTGACATCCAGTGTGGTTTCCGAAAAAAAAAGAAGTACCATTGACCATTTGGTGCGTTTAGAATCGTTTACTAAAAATTCCATTGTCAACAAACAACATACTGTATCAATCTTTTTCGATCTAGAGAAGTCATATGATACAACGTGGAAACATGGTATTTTAAAAGATTTGCATGAATGTGGATTGAGGGGCGGATTACCTCAGTTCATATCTCAATTTTTAAACAACAGACAATTTCAAGTACGAGTGGGATCTACCCTGTCTGATCGTTTCGATCAAGATCAGGGCGTCCCTCAAGGCAGCATACTATCAGTCACCCATTTCAGCATCAAAATTAATAGTCTCACTAAAGTATTAAACAATAGCGTTGATGGTTCACTTTTTGTGGACGATTTCAACATTTCTTGTCGTGGTAAGGATATTTAATACAATAGAAAGACAGCTACAGCTCTGTCTTAACAAAATTCAAAAATGGGCAAACGTAAACGGCTTCAAATTAACTAAATCCAAAACAAACTGTATTGACTTTTGTCTTAAATACAAACCTCACAAGGATCCAGATTTATTTTTAGATGGTACTCCTATCAAGGTAGTAGAGGAGGCCAAATTCCTGGGCCGCATATTTGACCGTCATCTCACATTCTTACCACACATTAAATATATCAAGGCAAAGTGCCTGAAGGCTCTCGACTTGTTAAAAGTCGTTTCAAATTCCGAGTGGGGAGGGGATCAGACCACCCTCCTTCACTTGTACAGATCGTTAATACGCTCCAAACTAGACTATTGTTCCATTGTCTATGGTGGAGCCTGCAAAAGCAATTTAGAACAATTGGACACTATACACCATCAAGGCCTAAGATTCTGTCTTGGAGCTTTTAGGACCTCTCCCATGGACAGTTTGTATGTGGAGGCAGATGAACTTTCACTCGAACTGCGCCGCATTAAACTTTCACTGCAATATATCACTAAATTGCACTCAAATAAATCTAATCCTGCATACAATTGTGTTTTCAACCCTCAGTATGAAAACCTGTTTCAAAATCTATCAAACCTGGTTCCACCACTTGGAATTCAGAATTCAACCACACATCACTGCAGCTAAAATAGATTTAAATATTGTATAACCTCACCGTCTTCTGTCTTCCCCTCCCTGGCAGGTGGTGAAGCCAGAAGTAGACCTCACTCTAACCAATCCAAAAAAGTCGGATTCCAATCCTTTGGTATATCAACAATCATATAACAAATTACGCTCCAAATATAATTCTCACAGGTCCATTTTTACAGACGGATACAAGGATGGTGGCAAAGTTGCTGGTGCCACCATCGTTGGATCCAGAGCTGTCTCCTTAAGAATGCCAGATTTTAGTTCATTTTTTACTGCTGAGACCAAAGCTATCCTAACAGCTTTGACCTATATTCAACAACAAAACCAATCTAAACATTCCATCATCTTCTCTGATTCGTTATCTTGCCGTCAGGCACTTAAAGGTGTCTCACCATATCACCCTATTATCCATGAAATTTTAGAACTGTATAATGTAGGCATAACAGGAAACTCAAAAGCCGAAGATGCAGCTAAAGCAGCTCTTGACAAACCGTTATCTCCACTTCTGATCCTGTACAGTGATTTCAAACCAACCATCAAATCTTAAACTCGGGATCTCATGCAAAAGAGGTGGGACACCCAAGTAGGAAGCAATAAACTACACGAATAGAAACCAAAAATCGGTCATACTTACTTGGGTTGTCAGTCACGACATGACGAGGTCGTTTTACGACGATGTAGTATTGGCCACAGTCGGTTTACACACGAATATCTGCATTAGGCAAATGAGGACGAACCCCCTAAGTTTATTCCTTTGTGATGAAAGGTTCACCGTCAAGCATATATTGGTTGACTGTGTTGACTTTGCAATCGCAAGGGATTCACATTATCAAAACGTAAATCTGAAAGATCTCTTTTCCCGTGTCAGCGGGCATCTCATTATCAGCTATTTGAAACAAATCAGTCTGTATAATAATTTTTCAATATGTATGTGAATAATTAAATGCTTGTTCCTAAATTGGTGTGATGCTATTATCAACTGACATTATTGAAGGCTCTGTCCAGGAGGTTAACGTAGCGTAAAAATATTGTCCCCCCTGTGTGACCCGTAATCCTATCATAATCGATGTTACTTCCTGTCATTTTTTTAATATTGGCTAGTACTTTTCACAACCACCTGTGGCTAAAGTGATGACGTAAATGCTGCTGGGGTATCATGCAGAAAGCAGAGGTACTGTAAGTCCTGAGGTGGCCTAGATTTGGTTGCTGGTGGCCCATAGCCCGTGCTTTATAACTGTAAAATATTGTTATGCTCAACTATGTTTAATAAATTGTTTTTAAATATGGTATGCTAAAATTGATTTTAAATATTCCTTTGCTTGTTAACATATTAAACTTGGTCTCGTCGCTAAATGGCTGAAATAATGCCAATGAGACGTTAAATTTTAACTCACTCACTCATTCCCCTGGTCATCAGTGTGGTACATCAGTGTGGTACCAACCCTCTGCCCCTGCCTTCAATGTGTGTGTTCGGACGATGGCGTCTGGTATATACAGCAATCAGTAGTTCATATGTAGCTTTTTCTCTTCTCTGGTGTAATAATTTAATCAACGATTGGGTTATTGATTTAAGTGCAATCATTGATGTGTAGAATGTGTTACTGCAGTCGGGTAAGATTGAACAGATAAGGGGTGCAGTACAATACCAATGGATATTAAGTTAAGAAACCTCGAGATTACATCATCAACAGTGTGTGTCAGGCTTCTTAATGCTTAATTATATTTTCCGGAGAATGTGTTTCTTTTAGAAATGCTATACAATAATTCAACATTAAGCTATATGAATATTTATAGATTAAGCCCTGCGTGTAAACAGAAATGTAAATATCTTTAGCTATGTAATGGCATTTAGAAAATGATTTACTCGTTAACAAATTAACATTTGCCGATTTTTATTAATATTCAAGACCTCAATTCCATTCAGTTGCTTCACCACTATGCAGTCACTGTATTGTTCGAACCGTGTATAATTTCCCACGAACAATTTTGTCCAAATACATGTAGCTGACATCTTTGACTTAGACAGACAAACAGAATTTGTTATACACAGATGATTATCCTCACTTTGCCACCACACAGCAGAGGATTAACAGTGAGCCAAAAACGCTCACAGTAGTTAGTGAGTGAACTCAACTGAGGATTTTACGAGTATCCATAAAAACCAATGAATGCTTACCCAGTTCATTGACATTTATATAATTAAGGCAATTGCAGTGACCAGTAATCAAGTAATCAATGAGATAGTATACACATTCTGGAAAACTTCATTGTAAAATGGTTAATGCACCTGGGATTGTCTTATTCATTCCTAACAAACGTGGTGGCCGTAGTCCTTTATAGCAAGGCTTTAAGTATGGAGTGAAACGAAGACGAGGTGCCCGCATACACTGGAAAAGTTGTATGCTGCATGTCCAGGCACCGCCAACACCTCTATATGATCTCACGACCAAGAACCTACCGCATAACCATTGTCATGATATTTCCATCATATATGATAGTTCTATGTAAATGTAAAGTCAATAAGACAAATGAGACGACCACTTCTGTCTGTCTCCTAAATCAGCAGGAGAGGCGACCCCGACATAAAATAATTGAACCTGTTCAGTGACGCCCTTCCATCAGCGTGACAGGAGTACCCAGAGAAAAAGAAAGGATTAAAAACCCTGAAGGTATCCTATCTACATGGTATAAGTATTCACAAGCAATTTCCTCTAATAATGTACTGTTTCCTTTGGTATCCCCAAATCGCAATGCACAGAAGTGGCACTGGACAATTGTAAAATCTCACCGGGTGATGGTTAAGATCACAAAACTATCTACGCCCAGATAACATAGTAGTTTATATTCATTTCCAATAGCCTCTTATAATTGATGGTAAATGGTAGAGCCTTATTATTCATTCTTACATAAACAAAACAAAAAGGTACATGTACATGTATCAATCTCAAGATACCAGCATCACATAACTTGACCGGCAGGTGATTAACAACACAGAGACAGATTTGTTGTGGCAGTGGTTGCTTTATCCTAACTTCTTGTCAACTTCGTCAGTTTCAACAAATTCAGAACGCAAGGGGCCAGGACTTGATTGAGAGAGTTAGCCTCGGGGGCTCGTGCCGAGCTCGACCACAATACAAAACAACATTCATTTCCAGGCCACCCAACTGCTCCATTTTACCCAAACTGTCCCCACCTTCCCTGTCATTACTTCTTAATTCGCCTCCACATTCATGCCAATATATATCCATATCCATATCAATATAAACAGGAAAGCCTATAAAGTATCAATGACTGAAATGTGCACTCATCCTTCAGGTTACACACAACCAACCACACGACTTCTTTGGTGACGTTATATTTTTAAAAAACAACTATTACCTGTACGTGTGCACAGTTTGGCCTTAGAGCAGGAATAATAACAAGCCCGTTCCTTTTCTGAGTACAGGAAACTAAACACACCATCCCCACCAAATGACACCTACTTGAAAACATCTGTGGTCACATTCAGCATAAGTCATCATGTTGCAAAATACAGTACTTAATATAGAAAAACATTGTCGGTTTTAATTACTGGATGCAAGTACATTTAAAATCATACACAAAATCATCCAATCACAGCCTGCAGATATCTGTAGGTTGGGGGAAATGGAGCATATTCACACGTGAGATAATAGGACATTTATGGTGGTGACAGCCCTATCAAAATAGAAAAACAATTAATATATTTCCCTTTTCATCCCTAAATGTACATACACATAAATACATTAATTATAGTCATTCAGGAAATGTAAGTGTATTAATTCTTAAATTGGCCTTTATGAAGACAATCTTGTAACTTACGTGGCATGGTCGTTGTCGTTGTCATCGCCGGCGCTGAAGGTGTAAAATTTCTTTCCATAATTATAAGAATTTTCTGATTCCTATCATATCATAACCATTTGTTCTTGAATCAGTATAGAATAGTGATGAAACCATGTGTCTGCTAGAAGCTGAGCGTTTCAGAACCCACCGGTGGTACACATCATAAATACAAGCAAAGGTAAGTCAAGTGTTCACCTGAACAAATACGAGAGTGAGTGAGTTTGGTTTGACGCCGCTTTTAACAGTATTACAGTTATATCGCGGCGCGTCAGCTTATTGTGGGAGGAAAGCAATGCATGTGATGCAGGTCTCAGAAGTTTGCCACTTTGGTGAATCACATGAGCACAGATATAGTGCTGACAAACCTAGAAATATAATCGGGGCGAACCGGGATTCGAACCCACAATCATAGGTTTCTCGCGTGCCCAAGGGACGCAACTCTGCACAGCGAATCGCAGCGCCTGAGACTACTGTGCCAGCAGTGGCCCCACAAATACGGGAACATATGGTATTGTCAAAATGGCATCGAAACAATTCACAATTTCGGCAGACATCAAATTTGTCACAAAAGCGTCAATTGAGGAAATGTTCTACATGTCCACCATAAAATTGTCTTCAAATCCGTCAGCTATCGGTATGACGCTCTTTGAAATCTTCGTAGAAAGGGCAAGTGCGATTCACCTCAAAGGTGTGAATTATAGACGCCAAAGGTTGGGGCTGCAGGGATATTGATTTAAGTAATTCTTTAATTTAAACAAATTCTAGTCCTCACAAACCTGTATAATATTCAAATATTATAAAACTACTAACAGCAAAATATATTTCTTTTCTGAAAGATATTCTGTCAAAACGAAATCACCGTGATGATGACCTATTCATTATACAGATTATGAGCCAAATGGATGAGAGATGAGGGGCCAATGATTCCTTGAAAAAATTATGGTATGTAAATTGGGTAAACTAAGTATCTTAGAAGTACTTACCGACGCAGCACGTCATACCGGCTGGACACTGGAGACCGGGAATTGGGGCAACACAGCTAGCAGGGGCAACACATGCGATGCCAGTGGCGGCGCATGCTGAAAATGAGGAAACGTGTTAAATTTGGAATAAGATAATATTGGATTTATATGGACACTGTATGATTGACATTTTCTCTTTTTCATTCGTTTAGCAACCAATACAGTAATGGCCATATATTTTCCCTTCATTTTAAATAGAGTTTGTCAGTTAGTTCCACTCTTTCGTCAACAATATGCTGACACTATCACCTACCAAAAGCCCAAGGATGACCCAACCGGCAGACTAAACGCCAACACAAGTCCATCCTGAAACGTCTTATAGGCACCTTTGAACTCAGAAGTACTACAAACTTTCCGCCGCACACGCACAACCTCCCTATGCCCGTGCCATCATCAAGATCCATATAAAATCCAACAAAGTTAGATTACTTGTATGTTTCTGTACAGTTTGCTCTTAATAATTGTTAAATGTCCTTTGTATGGAGAGGTGTTTAAATATACTGAACCGCAAAAGAAACGTCACCCCGAGCAACATTGCATGAAAAGTTGTCATTTAAATATCTGGGTAATTTTTGTCAAAGTTTCTCAAATTTAACATTACCTTGTTCCGGAAAAATAAAATTTAATAATAAAAAAATAAAGCAAATGACAATAATCCCGATCGCCCAAACGCATCATGGCAACGGTCATGGTAACCCAATGCACGTGAGTTCCGTGCAAATTAAAATGCACATGTGTTCCCCCATTTCTTGCCCTATAAAAGTCCATCAGGTAACATTCATTCGTTATTGAATTGCTACCACATGCCAAGATTGACAATAAATCAGCGACACAAAGCCTTTGGACGATTGCAAGCTGGACAAACCGCCCGGCAAGTAGTCAATGCATTTCAAGTCCACGTAAGGACCATATACAGGCTCCAGCAACGGTACCAGACCACCAACACTACAGATGACCGATCATGTAGTGGAAGACCAAGGGTCACCACCCGACGTCAGGTTCGTCAGATTGTGCGACAGCATCTTCAAGATTGCTTTGTTACCGCTGCGGAAACTGCTCGACAGAGCATTGGGACATACCAACGACACATTGACATTGCGTCGACGATTGACGAGTAGGCATCTCCACTGCCACAGGCCACACCGAGGACCCATTCTGACAACACGTCATCGCCGGGACCATCTTCAGTGGGCAACACGCCACCAGCATTGGTGCCACCAGGAATGGAGAAGAGTCCTCTTCTCAGACTAGAGCCGTTACTGTTTCTCAACAGCAGAGGACAGAGAGAGTGTCTGACAACGCCGTGGGGAACGTTATTCGGATGCTTGCGTTGTTAAGAGAGACTCGTGGGGTAGTCCGAGCATCATGGTGTGGGGTGGAATTGGTCTTGCACAGGGGGTCGGCCCTGTGGTCTTCCAGAACATCGGTTCAGGGAGATGGCAATGGTGTCACAGCAGCTCGGTACATTGATCAAGTCTTGAGACCACACGTCATACCTCATTTGGCACATCGCCGCAATCACGAGTTTCAGCATAATAATGCCTGTGCCCACACTGCGAGAACGATTTCCTCCAGCAGAACCATGCAGTGGCCTGACCTCAGTCCCGATTTAAATCCAATTGAGCACCTGTTGGACGAGATTCAAAGACGGCTGAATGACGTCCGACAAGGCAAACAACTGCAGCTGAACTGCATCAGGCGTTGCCCAGAGCAGAGTGTTGGCTCAAGTGCCTCTGGCCTTCATCAACTGCCACATCCATACCATGTATCGATGTTGCATGGCAGTCATAAATGCACTAGGCAGACACACGAGATACTGACTTGTGATGCCATTTTCTCAGAGATTAGTATTCTGTTTCACTTTAAGAACATTTGACACCTTAATTTCAACCTTGATAATCAGTTTTCCCAAGTTTCATATTTTTAATATGTCTCAAAGTATGTTTGCAGTGTTTGGACAAATAAGGTTTCTCATATATCTATCTATGGTGACGTTTCTTTTGCGCTTCAGTATATGTTTTGCCTGTTCACCAATCCCATTTATTTTGCAGGGACATAAATGTTGTTAAAATCAAATCCTATATAGCAGACTCCACAGACTTTTGTCAGAAGATCCAGACCATCATTCAACCTGAAGAGATCATCAACTGTGATGTTGTTGATCTCTTCACAAAGGTCCCTACTGACGAAATCCTTCAAATTCCCTGTCAACGCATCTCCAACCTAGATCAAGCACTTGATACCACCCTCCATAGCCCCTTTCATCAGCCTCACCGAATCCTGCATGACCTCAACCAACTTTCCCAGAGGAGGCGCCACCTACGAGCAGATACACAGCATCCACATTGGATCCCCTCTCTCCCAACTATCCTTACAGAAATCTATCCTTTGAAGAAAAAGTCCTATCCACATTCCCAATAAAACCCGTCTGCTGGTACAGGAAGGTAGACGACACCTTTGTAATCTTCAGAAAAACATAAAACGTCTCATGTAAAGCAGGTAGTAAGATTGTAAATAATAATATTCAAATCGCATTGAAAAAAACAATACAAAATCTGTAATCCTAAGCCTTATGTTCCACATACCAGGATAGCCAGGAGGTAAATTGATAAAATAAGAGGAGAAATGTACCATTACATACATGCAAAGACATCAGCTGACTATGATTAAATCTGTAAATGTTATGACACTCTACCTGTCTGCATGAATGGACCTAAGGTCACGAGATAGAGGCTGAAGATAAAATACCATCATGAACAATTCATGTAGTCATTATTGCTTCATTTTACCAAGAAGGATACCCCGAAAAACATCAAACGTTGAGTAACAAACATTCACCCAGTAGAGTAGAGATATGTAAAAAATACATATCCATCGATATGCTGAAACCCATTGACAAAACACTCTAGCGAATGTAATTCTCATAATTTGTGATATCAAAAACTACATTTGATTTTTCAAATATCACAAATTCGATTGTTTATATGCTAAAATACATCATTTGAAATACTAAATTCTTTTACCGATATCTAAAATCGATACCTAAAATCAAATTTGGGATATAAATTCATTCTTTGGAATCATTAAATGAATTTCTGATATCATAAAATAAGGAATATATAGTTAAACTCTGCGCCTTTTATAGTGTTCCTCTTTGCATCATGGTTGTAGCGTTCACTGCTAGACTTTTTTAAACAAGTATTTCTTTCATCATATAAAGAACTGTTGAAAAATGTCAACTTCAAATAAACTATTAACTGTAACCAAGGAAATACTACCTACCGGACCTGCGTTTATTTATCATCTCGATCGTTATCACAGTTAACATCTGTCTATTTTTAAGTGTATATGCTTATACTAGAACATCGTACTGACTGACACATCACCTTAAAGCATTTACACGTAGGTGCTGTATATACAATAATACTTTGATTCTATAGCACAGAAAAAATACCCAGATTCTTACTGTATAACGGTTCATTCTTTGTTTTCAGACGTGACATTCAAACAAATAATTCATGCGTAACAGTTATCATATTCTTGCCGTTTATGGCGGAGCCTGGCCAGAGTTGAGAGTTATAAGCAGAGATATAAAGCACTTGTTTTCGTATTGACGCAAACGCTTTCATAACCCATAATCTAGGTGTTGTGTTAGTACTATTGTATTGACAAATAAGTTTGATAACAGACAGAAACAGCCAGTGTATGTATGTCGGCGTAAAAGATGCTCGGACAGGTGTAATGTTAGATTGGTCTCCCTTCGCCAGTCGGGCCCCTGTGAGACTTTAACGTCTCATACTTGACAGGCATTGTACATATCTACCCGAACCACGTAGCAATTTTTATGCTTTACTATGCGTGAGACTAAAATTAAAATCTTCTTCTTCTTCTTCTTCTTCTTCTTATTCGTCCGGCTATTTGATTTAGAAATATTTATTTTCACAAAAAATGTGAAAATGGATTGTAAACAAGCGAAGCGCTTATGTTAATACTGTTCATTACACAAAGTAGATTGTGGTTGATTGTACATTGTAGATTTTCTGATGACTCGTACCCCGGACAGCGCCACACATCGTTCTAAGGGCATCTAAGTTTAATTTTTCTTATCAATTACCTTGTTCATTACTACAGATGTCCCAAATATGACAACTACAATAACAAAATTGGTAAGGTAAAGGATTTGTACATAGCTTCTAAGGTAGTTCAGGATAGACGATATTTATAACTTCTTAAAGAATTAACCAGAGGTCAACATTTCCTGGCAATATCATCAATGTGCATTTTCAATGTACAATTACTTTGAAAAGTAATACCTAGGAGCTTATGACTTTGTTCATCTTTGATTTCTTTACCATTCATATATAAGTTAGGTTTGCGACTTGGGTTTACTTTACAGGTAAATTGAATAGATTCGGTTTTTTGGACTAAATTTAATTTACCATCATGCAGCACATTCTGAAATTCTGTCGAAATCATTATTGACATTACAAGCAGCTATATCAGGATCTTCTATGATCAAATACTAAGATATGTCATCAGCGAAAAGCTTACATTACTATTTATTCCTTCAACAATGTCATTGATATAGATAATAAACAACACTGGTCCCACGACCGGGCCCTGTGGCACACCTGAGTGTCTGAGCTATAGCCATTTATAACTACGTTTTGATATCGATTTTCTAAATAATAAGTTCGGCCATTCCCACGCGGGTATTAAGTGAACATGAGTGAGTGAGTGAGTGAGTGAGTTTGGTTTTACGCCGCTTTTAGCAATATTCCAATAATATCACGGCGGGGGACACCAGAAATAGGCTTCACAAATTGACCCATGTCGGGATTCGAACCCGGGTCTTCGGCATGACGAGCGAACGCTTTAACCACTAGGCTATCCGACCGCGCCTTAAGTGAACATGAAAGGTATGACACTTGTTATAGTTAATTTATTGTACGTTATTTACTTAATTAAATAACAAATAGTAAAGAGTTCAGCACAACGAAACGTATTTCATCCAACCATGGAGTTTAAAATTAATCCTGTCATACCAAAACATTAAA